CAGGCCAGGATCCTTTCTCCGTAATGGGCTCATTCTTGCCTTAGGGCAATACCAGTGCTTAGGCTTTGCCTCCCTTCTTATGCTCTTGGCCCTCACAGAGTGCCGAGGCTGTAATAGTCTTCTTTGAACGATTCCTCATGGCTGGGCTGACCTCTGTGAGTTTAGCCCTATTGCTTCCTGTGGGGCATTCCCTGCTAAATACTTGGTCCCTCTGGGCCCCTTGTGGTACTTAAGGCAAGTTCAAGTATGAGTCGTTCCTCTAGCATAACACTACGGGATTTTACTGGTTCCCCATAGAGTCAAGTATCGATAGGGAACGTACTCGGTTACTAACGTAACCTTGGTTACCTGATATATTGACCTCATGCATATGCATATGCTATGCAGCTGCACGACTCAGTTGTCACTTCAGTCGAAGTAACCTAAGGATCCTATGGAAACAGGCCCACTTATATTGCCAGATGGTCCCGCCCATTCTGGTGGGCTCCATCGCCATAGGCTCGTGCAGCCCTTCTTTATATCACTGCACAAACCAATGGCTGTGGAGTTACACTGCGTCATTAAAAAAGGCTTCAGTCATCGGAGATAAAGGAGGTTTCCCCCATAGTGGCCTGTCCCGCCCATTCTGGTGGGCTCCATCGCCATAGGCTCGTGCAGCCCTTCTTTATATCACTGCACAAACCAATGGCTGTGGAGTTACACTGCGTCATTAAAAAAGGCTTCAGTCATCGGAGATAAAGGAGTTTTCCCCCATAGTGTCTTAGTGACACAGTACTCGTTCCCGTATCTCAGGGAACCGAGGTTACGTTAGTATCTGAGTATGTTCTCAGTATAATCAATACAGAAAAAACTGTCCTCATTGCTACTCAAATAGATACTGAACAGTACTTTCACGCAGTTAAGCTAGACTAGCAGGGTGATTTCACCAACAAATTCAGTTCTGTGTAAATGTGCTTCACTTGTCTTATTTCTGTTGTAGCCACATATGGAGACGCCATGGTAAGATGAAGCACAAGTTAAACTTTACTCCACTTTTGTGGCGTCGGTGGACACCCACATCACAATTCCTGATGAATAGCTTTTGTATGATTATGTACATGTGCGATCATAGCATGCAATCAATGTTATCTAAATTATTATTATTATTTTTTTTTTTTGCTGTGAGTTGTTGCAAGAATGTTTTTAGACATTTGATCTGGGTAATAAAGGGTTGATGTGACTGTAATTTCCCACGATTCCTTTTTAAATATAACTTAAAATGCTAGAAACCAAGAACCATTTTCAACATTCTCTTTCAAATCTGTAGTTTAGTGTGCATATCGAACTGGCCAAGTTGCGTGATTTCAGCAAGTGTCATTTTATGTCATTCAATGTCACTTTCTTTTTATTCTGATACTTTGATGCTAAAATGAAAAGATCATTATAAAGTAGTATACAATATGTTTACTTGTATACCGTTTATATCTTTATATCCATGGATATTGTTTGTATGTATATGAATAATCATGTTGTATGTTGTTTGCTTTTGATATATTGATGTAGTTTAGATATATTGAAACCTTAGTGATTTTTTTCTATGATTGTTAGATAATGTGAGACTGTTGTATGTGCAGTAATGCATTGATGTTTGATGTTTTATATTTGAAACTAACGTTTAATATTGTTGTTCTCCTTTTGTAGTAACCACACCTTGCTCCACATGTTGAGCCATCAATAAAGGAAATCAATGGAATTTTGTGCATTCTTATCGATGCCCCACAGTGATTAGACTTTTTACCAACATTCATGAAACATTCATTACAAGATATAAATAAGATACAAACCAAAAGTGAACCCAAATAGCACAGGTACGTCTGCAAGATGTCTGTTAAAGATCGCTTGATCTGGAAAGCATCTGCTGTGTACAAACATCTGATAGACGGCTTTAAGATGTCAGTTTTACATACACTGTAAATCATAAACATCTTAAAGACATTTTCTAAATGTCTATTTGACATCAGATAGGAAACATCCTATAGATGTACTGCAGATGAGCAAACACTCTAGTCAGTCTTGCAGATGTAAATGCAGATGTCAAACAGACATCTCTGTGATGTGCGTGTGCTTTCAGGGAACTTGAGTGTACAATAAAACCTAATATTGAATTAGTGTGGACTTTATTTGGAAACTATAGGATACATAAAACAAATATATTCATAAAAGATCAAACTTGCATATTAAATTCAACATACTCTGCAAATATTTAGAATAGTGAATTTAATGATATCGTGGACTGCTCTTCTATTAAATTGCTTTGTATTATTCACCTTGTTTCAAGTCTTTCCTTTGCATTTAAACACATCTGACCAGTAGATGTCCTCAGCGTGCGGTATTAAGGCCCTGATATACTCAAAATAAAGTTCCTTTTCGTTCTTCGTTTAGGGGTAAAACGAAGATCGAAATATGCGTGCAGTGGTATGCTGTTCGTGAAATTGTTAAAAATAAGTTTGAAAAGTTGTCGGGAGCATGGTGGAGGTAACATTGAAGGCGAGCGACCGTGATGCAGTAGTTCGTTTGTAGCCTAAGTTTAGCTTTTAAGTTCTGGCACTTTTATTTAGGCTTGAAAATTCATCAAAGTTACATTATTTTGTGAAGATTATCTTGATGGACAAAACGTGTAAGTTTCATGAACTACAGGGAATTCTGGGAAAGTCAATTTATGGTTTTTCACTGTAAATTATACATTATATTTCCACTTCCAAAATCTTACTGCACTTACTTCACCCCTCACCTCACTGTGGTGACACCTGCCTACTCACGTCTTTTAATCTGTCGTTTGGCATCTTAAAGGTGCAGTAGGAGATCTTGGAAAATGCTAACTTTAGCCTGATAGCACTGAAAGCCTACGACCCACCCTCACTGCAAATCGCCGACCAAAGCCACGACTCCTGAACCCATGAACGCGCACAGACCAGACGACCAGAGACAACATTACTACAATACATCATGTGTCATTCACTGGTGAAAAAACTTTATAGTACAGTTAGTAACAGTATACTAAGGAAGGAAGGAAGGTCAGGTTGTTGATGTCCTGCCATTCTCGCTCTGTCTGCAGCGTACATGAACACGCTGATGACGTATCCTGTCTACGCGAACAGGGTGTGCAGAGCTATGATAATAGATATGTTGACAGGCAGGTAGGAAAGCCTATCATAATGTTCGGACCGAACATTTTGATTGGATGAACATTTATTGGTCCTTCGCCTTCCACAGAATATAGATACATATAAATACATTTAGACCACTTAACTTAATGATTGCTATTGGTATGTGAAGAGACTTTCAGCATTACAAAAATCACCTATTGGATCTTTATATATATATACAGTATAAGCACTAAGCGCCCTCCACAGGGGAAAATTCCGGGGTCATCCAAACAAATGCCTTTTGATATGAATGGATAGTTTTCTCCAGGTATTACATTCAGAGTTAAACAGTATCAGCAAAATCTGCCTTCAGATGTCAGAGCGTCTGTCCATCTCTCATGAGGGTCACATGATCACACAGTAAACAACACTAGAGCGATGCTACTGTGAGTTTGCACATGGCTTGTTTTCTCACATCTGTGGTCACTACAGTGGAACTGCATTTATGGCCATATTTAGAGGTTCAAAATATAACAGGAGACAACAGAGAAGTGATACAAGGCCAGAGTCAGAATAAAAAGCTTAGAAGATCTCATATGGTCCAGGAGGATGCAACTTCAATATTCGCTCACTCTATTAATTCTTGAGAAGTTCGATGCAACTTCAATATTCGCTTACTCTATTAATTCTTGAGAAGTTCTTATGAAATTATTTATTTTCTTGTTTCCCCAGGATAAGATAAAATATGTTTGAAAACATAATAAGCATCTCTATGGACTGACAAAGTTTCTCAGCTAGTTTTTTTTTTTTTCCTTCATAAAGATAAAGTTTACACCTCTGTGCTGGTTGCCATGTTTAGTCTCTACTTCTGCTATATCTGTACTATGTGAAGTGTTATATCCTCCTGCTAAAATATAAGGTGTTGACTACATAAAAACCCCATTGCTGGTCTCATCCTGATCATTTATAGTGCTGTCACCAGTCAGGAGTTTTGGTTAAACGGGTAAGAACATGATTTTATAATCATTCTGTAGACTAATTATCATCAAATGTGTGTATGTGTGTGTGTGGTGTAGGGGAGATTGGGGCTAGTTGTCACACAGGGAAGTTCCCATTAACGAAGCTTAAGGTCAAAAGTCCAAGTGTTTCTGTATGTTGTTTGCAAACACCTATTCAAAAATGTTTTAGATTAAAATACTTTTTGTAAATTCTGCCCTCCAAGTAGTTAAAATTCCAGTAACACTTTCACTCGAGTAAAAAAGGGAAAACTAGCCCCAGTATATACATATGATAACAGGAACTATACATCTGTGCTATTAAAAGTAGAGAGCAACGCTAAGGTCATGGGTTTAATTTCCATAGAATGCATGAACTGATAAAAATGCAATAAATGCAATGTTGGATGAAAGCATCTACCAAGTGCATGCATGAAAGTAGATGAAATGTTGTTGATTAAGTAAATACAATTGTAGTTAACTTTTAAAATCTTTACCTGGTGATTAGATGCGTTTTTTAATACATATACTGTAAGCCCATTGTAAGCACTGACATATGTTGTGTTTTGGGTGTTGGTTTGACCACCAAGTTTATTCTGTAGCTTAAGCCACAAGACGATCTTGGTCCACAGCCACAGATGGAGCTAGATTTACACTAGCCAGAAAGAGGAAGTTAAAGGCTTGTGTGCTTAACTATAGTTTAACTGCACAGCAACCAGTCGCAAAAAAACCCTAAACCTCAATAAACACAAGCATCTTAACAGACAATGAACTAACTGTAATAGTTAGATGTTTACTTGGTATTGTCCTATACAATATTACAAAGTTACATAAGAATATTACAAAAACATACTGTAAAACTGTACATTTATTTGTAGGTGTTGCTATGATGATGTCAGTCAGAATGGCTCCTCCTCTTCCTCTGATCATTCTGATTATGGTTCACAGTGAGTGACTGCAACACTTCAGAAACACTTGAGAGAGAGAGAGTTGCTTTGACAAAGGATGTCAATTTGTTCAAAATGAATTCTGTGTTTCAGGGGTGTCTAGTGCTGGTTGGGATGTGAGTTACAGTCCTTCACACATCTGTGCACTAAAGAACTCATCAGTGATAATGAACTGCACTTATACATACCCTACTGGACATAAGATCATGAAAGTGTTCTGGAGCAAAAACCCTGTAAAGGGTAAAGAGCCTCCAGATATGTCTGAGGATCCTGAATACAGTCAGAGGCTTCAGTATCTGGGAGACAAACAGCAGAACTGCACCATCAGACTGAGTCATGTGACACAGAAAGATTCACACAAGTACTATTTCAGATTCAACACTAACAAATGCAGCAAGAAATGGACTGGTTATCCAGGAGTGACTCTTACTGTCACAGGTGACTTTCATGAGGCTGAGCTCTTCTTCTGTGCATTATGTTGAATAATAATCAGTGTATGACAGCAGCACTAGATATAATGTGTGTGTTGTGTTCAGATCTTCAGGTGGAGGCTCCTGAGAGAGTGACAGAGGGTCATAATGTCCGTCTGACATGTAAAAGCAGCTGCACTCTGACTGACAGAGCAACATTCATCTGGTACAGAAACTCACAGCCATTAACTGAGAGAAGAGACAGAAACAATCAACTCCTGCTGCAGTCAGTCAGAAGAGAGGATGCAGGCAGATACAGCTGTGCTCTACATGGACACAGTACGAGAAAATTAAGTCGTTATAACGAGAAAACAACTCTCGTTATGTCGAGATCACGAGAAAATTAAGTCGTTATAACGAGAAAACAACTCTCGTTATGTCGAGATCACGAGAAAATTAAGTCGTTATAACGAGAAAACAACTCTCGTTATGTCGATATAACGAGAAAATTAAGTCGTTATAACGAGAAAACAACTCTCGTTATGTCGATATAACGAGAAAATTAAGTCGTTATAACGAGAAAACAACTCTCGTTATGTCAATATAACGAGAAAATAAGAAGGGAAAAAAAAATAATGCATGGCCGCTTAGAACTTCCGTAACTAAGCGCCCTCCACAGGGGAAAATTCCGGGGTCATCCAAACAAATGCCTTTTGATATGAATGGATAGTTTTCTCCAGGTATTGCATTCAGAGTTAAACAGTATCAGCAAAATCTGCCTTCAGATGTCAGAGCGTCTGTCCATCTCTCATGAGGGTCACATGATCACACAGTAAACAACACTAGAGCGATGCTACTGTGAGTTTGCTGTGGTCGCTACAGTGGAACTGCATTTATGGCCATATTTAGAGGTTCAAAATATAACAGGAGACAACAGAGAAGTGATACAAGGCCAGAGTCAGAATAAAAAGCTTAGAAGATCTCATATGGTCCAGGAGGATGCAACTTCAATATTCGCTCACTCTATTAATTCTTGAGAAGTTCTTATGAAATTATTTATTTTCTTGTTTCCCCAGGATAAGATAAAATATGCATGTAAGTTTGAAAACATAATAAGCATCTCTATGGACTGACAAAGTTTCTCAGCTAGTTTTTTTTTTTTTCCTTCATAAAGATAAAGTTTACACCTCTGTGCTGGTTGCCATGTTTAGTCTCTACTTCTGCTATATCTGTACTATGTGAAGTGTTATATCCTCCTGCTAAAATATAAGGTGTTGACTACATAAAAACTCCATTGCTGGTCTCATCCTGATCATTTGTAGTGCTGTCACCAGTCAGGAGTTTTGGTTAAACGGGTAAGAACATGATTTTATAATCATTCTGTAGACTAATTATCATCAAATGTGTGTATGTGTGTGTGTGGTGTAGGGGAGATTGGGGCTAGTTGTCACACAGGGAAGTTCCCATTAACGAAGCTTAAGGTCAAAAGTCCAAGTGTTTCTGTATGTTGTTTGCAAACACCTATTCAAAAATGTTTTAGATTAAAATACTTTTTGTAAATTCTGCCCTCCAAGTAGTTAAAATTCCAGTAACACTTTCACTCGAGTAAAAAAGGGAAAACTAGCCCCAGTATATACATATGATAACAGGAACTATACATCTGTGCTATTCTATCTTTTTTTTTTTTTTTTAAGTATTCCTGTAGCTCAAAAAGTAGAGCAAGGTGCTAGCAACGCTAAGGTCATGGGTTTAATTTCCATAGAATGCATGAACTGATAAAAATGCAATGCAAGTTATTTTGGATGAAAGCATCTACCAAGTGCATGCATGAAAGTAGATGAAATGTTGTTGATTAAGTAAATACAATTGTAGTTAACTTTTAAAATCTTTACCTGGTGATTAGATGCGTTTTTTAATACATATACTGTAAGCCCATTGTAAGCACTGACATATGTTGTGTTTTGGGTGTTGGTTTGACCACCAAGTTTATTCTGTAGCTTAAGCCACAAGACGATCTTGGTCCACAGCCACAGATGGAGCTAGATTTACACTAGCCAGAAAGAGGAAGTTAAAGGCTTGTGTGCTTAACTATAGTTTAACTGCACAGCAACCAGTCGCAAAAAAACCCTAAACCTCAATAAACACAAGCATCTTAACAGACAATGAACTAACTGTAATAGTTAGATGTTTACTTGGTATTGTCCTATACAATATTACAAAGTTACATAAGAATATTACAAAAACATACTGTAAAACTGTACATTTATTTGTAGGTGTTGCTATGATGATGTCAGTCAGAATGGCTCCTCCTCTTCCTCTGATCATTCTGATTATGGTTCACAGTGAGTGACTGCAACACTTCAGAAACACTTGAGAGAGAGAGAGTTGCTTTGACAAAGGATGTCAATTTGTTCAAAATGAATTCTGTGTTTCAGGGGTGTCTAGTGCTGGTTGGGATGTGAGTTACAGTCATTCACACATCTGTGCACTAAAGAACTCATCAGTGATAATGAGCTGCACTTATACAGAGAGGATGCAGGCAGATACAGCTGTGCTCTACATGGACACAGTTACATCTCTCCTGCTGCTCGTCTCAGTGTCACGTGTGAGTACTGATTCATTTGTTCTTTTTAATAACTTGTTGAGTTTATGTTTGGAACTACACATTTAATTTGTGTCCTCTTTAGATGCACCCAGGAATGTCTCAGTGTCCATCAGTCCATCTGGTGAAATAGTGGAGGGAGATTCAGTGACTCTGATCTGCAGCAGTGATTCAAACCCTCCTGCTCTGAACTTCAGCTGGTTTAAGGAGAATCAAAGCTCAGCTGTTGGAGCTGGACAGAGTTTCAGTGCACTACAGAGTGGACGCTTCTACTGTGAGGCTCACAATCAACATGGATCTCAGAGATCAGACGCTGTTACTGTCATTGTTAAAGGTGGAGCAGCTCATTTACTTGCATGATTCCTTCTAAAGTGAAACAAATGAATCTGTTCAGATGTTTTACTCTTTTGTCTCTGTTGTAGGACGTCTGGTGATATTGTATATATCCATTGGAGTGGTTTGTGGAGCAGCAGTTGTCGTAATGATGTATGATATGTGTGTGTGTGTGTGTGTCTCATTCCTGTTATCTCAGGGAACCGAGGTTACATACGTAACTGGAACATTCCCTTCCGATATGGTTCACTCACATTGTGTTTACCACGTTATGGGGAACAATATCCAATAGCGTTGGCAAGGCACAATTAACCCGGGATCAGCGAGGCCCAGGCCATGAGCCTGGAGTTCTCAGACAAAAATAGTCCTGACCACCGACAGGGAGCGGAAACAGCTTGACCAGCTGTGGAGTAGGCTAGGCCGCTAGGACTGAAGTGGCTCTGCAAGGCTAAAAAGGGTGGACAGCCTTGGCTTACCATTCCAGGGCATGACCTCTTTAGGACCCATCTGCGCTGCCCCATAACTCCACTGTTTGTTCAAAATGAATTCTGTGTTTCAGGGGTGTCTAGTGCTGGTTGGGATGTGAGTTACAGTCATTCACACATCTGTGCACTAAAGAACTCATCAGTGATAATGAACTGCACTTATAAATACCCTACTGAATATAAGATCATGAAAGTATTCTGGACCAAAAACCCTGCAAAGGGTAAAGAGTCTCCAGATCTGTCTGAGGATCCTGAATACAGTCAGAGGCTTCAGTATCTGGGAGACACACAGCAGAACTGCACCATCAGACTGAGTCATGTGACACAGAAGGACGAACA